TCTGAGGTTTCACCAACTAAGCCGGCCTACCACAGCACGATGGCTGAGATGCCACCACCCCTGGACAGACGATGTCGCCAGCTATCGTCCCTCTCTTGAGTCCACTTAACTTCCAATAGGAATGGCGTATGAACTACTATCTATTTTCCAGGTCACTCGTTCTGCCTAGAAATTATTGCCCCTCAAATATGTCCTCATTTCCCTCTCCCTGGGAAAAAAGGGCGCGTGCCAGGTGTGGTGGCAGACACCTTTAATCCCAGCACTCAGGAGGCAGAGAGACTCGCGGATCTCTGTGAGTTCAAGGCCAGCCTGGTCTACAGAGTGAATTCCAGGACAGGCTCCAAAGCTACAGAGAAACCCTGTCTTGAAAAACCAAAAAAGAAAAAAGAAAAAGGGCACATGATCATCTGAGGGGTTATTGGGCGCTGTGTCCTGTGAGGTCCTGGTGGGAAAACAAACAGGCGTGCCTTGTCACTCACTTGTCAATCTATTCTTAAACATTTCAAGGGCGAAGAGAATGCTTTCTCCTCATTCCCGTTGAGCCCCAAGAACAGTAGTCCTGCTAGGGATTATACTGCTCAGAAGGATAAAACCCACGGTAAGCAACTTCCAAGGCTTACCAAGCATCAAAGCATGCCAACAGGCTGAGAACCTGCTAATGGCTTCATGATTCATTCCAGGCTCCCCACCTACCTTTCCCTGATGGGGAAAGAACTGATGGGCAATAGACTCAGCTATTGTCTGGCCAAAGACTTTTCATCACAACACAACTTCCCTCACCGTGTTAATGCCTCAGGAATATGAACTTGAAATTACATTCCCAGCCGAAAGGATCTCATCACCCAGTGACCCAGCCCTGGCGGGGAAATGTTAGTGTTTCTAGACTGCAGTCAGACCTGTACGCCCAGCATTTACCAGCTCAGGAAGGTCTTCTGTGTCCCAGATATGAAGCCAAACGAGAGGAGGGAACGAAACAGGGCTGCCATCTATGAGACAATACTACAGACCCCAGTTCCTTCATTCTCTTGGATACCATTCTTCTCCAGAAGGTGTGGGGCTGTAGCAAACAGGTGCGCACAGACACGATAAGAACATGCCTCTCGCTACTGCACTTTCTCTCTCTTACCTAGAAATGCTGCCGCAGCATGGGATCCTTTCACAAGCACCTGCTGTGGACATGTCCACAGGGGAGTCCTTCCCATGTCACTCTTTGCTTCTCTTAGGATTGGTCTTGGTTGCTTAGCTACAAAAATTTAATTATGTCCTCCACTGTTAGTGACTTTAATTTAAAGCAGGAAAATATATAGGTACTGGTAAGTGAAAGAAAAGGTTCTGCTGTTTGGACATTACATGTCCCACAAAGGCCAATGGAGTGAAGCCCTAGTCTCTAGCTTGGCACTCCTGGGAGGTGGTAGAGCCTGGTGCAGTGGCTCTCAATCTTCCTAATGTTGTGACCTTTTAACACAGTTCCTCATGTTGTGGTGGCCCCCAATCATAAAATTATTTTCACTACTACTTCGTAACTATAATTTTGCTGCTCTTATGAATCATAATATAAATATCTGTATTTTCTGATAGTCTTATGTGACCCCTGTAAAAGGGTTGTTTGACCCCCACCCCAAAAGGGGTTACAACATACAGGTTGAGAACTACTGGGTTAGTGGGTCATAGGGAATGTGTCTCTGAAGGAGTATATGACCCTGGTCTTTCCTCTTCCTCTTTTTTTCCCAGTCTGGACACCAGAACATTAACAAGCTTCCTCTTCCACATGCGGACATGCGGTCCTGCAACAGGCTCCAGGCAGTCATGGGCTGAGCCCTCCAGGACTGGAAGCCACAGTCAGTGTTTGCTCTCTAAAGGTGCTTGTCTCGGGCATTTTGTCACAGCCGTGGAAGGCCAAGTGTCACAGTTTTGCTTCTCAAAACAAAATTTACAAATAAATAAAACTGACAAACCCCTAACCAAACGCAATGGGAAAAAGAAGACATAAAAATGAATTTCAGAAATAAAACCGGTGGCATAACTGTAGGCTTAGAAGCCATAAAATGGATAAAAGTAATATCACCAAAACTTTACCTGTAAAAAATGTAATACCTTGAAATAATGAACCCATTCCTGAGCAACCATAAGCAATCCAAACTGAAACAAGAGGAAAACAGACAGAAATTCTACCACTAAAGAAACTGGATTTGTGATGTAAGGTTCCTAAAAAAGATTTCTCCAGTCTCAATTAATTCTGCTTTGATCTATCATGTAGATCTGCTTTGTGACTCCAGAGAGCAAGAAGACGGAGCACCCACGGGGAACTGGCGAGGCGGGGAAGCCACCCCACATACGGAAGCTCGTTCTGTTCTCTCAGTCCAGGCGAGGGTCGGACACTCCAGCCCAAGTTTTCCGAGCAAAGGGGAGCTCCAAGGCCTTTGGGGCCTGCCTGTAAACAGGACTAAGTAGTCCAAGGCTTACTCAGGTTGTATGATGAGCTTCAAACGAGCCTGCCCTTCTTAAAATGACCTTGTCTCCAAAAGCCAGTGAGAGAGGGAATATGGGAGGAAGGAAGGAAGGGAGGGGGAAAGGGAGAGAGAGAGGGAGGGAGGGAGGGAAGGAGGGAGGGAGGGAAGAAGGGGGACTGGGAAAAGGGAAGCTTCGCAAGGTCTGCGACTAGCCTCAATTCTGCTTTTGATAGCAAAGTTACCCTAGAGTTTTGAAGCACACTTAGAAAACCCCAGTCCAAGTTGAAACATTCCAAACAAGCTGAAACACCCCAAAATGTAAACTTAAGTTCAGCAGGCTCTATCTGAAGTTGTGAGGTCTCACTTAACTCCTTCCAGGCTGGAGGCTGAGAACATAGCAGCCAGATTTGCAGCAGAAAGCCAGGGTTCTGCATAGGTTTGCCCAGCCTTTGCTGATTGTAGTGGCTGAGGAGGAACCAGGCCCGAGGCAGCACAGACCTTCCCATAAAAATGTATACAACCGCCAGGTACCCTTCAGCCAAACCCAGCAGGTACAGCATCAGACACACTTCTGTGGGAGAGGGCTCATGCGGCTGGCAGTTACTGTGGGGAGATTTTCTTCAGTCACCTCCAGATAAACCACAGCCTATCACTCAACTTTGCAAAGCTACAGAAAGGAAGGGGTCCATGTGGACACACAGAAGCTAATGCCAGCAACTGCTTCAGCAGAGAGCCAGTATCCAGGGTCCCCTGCTCAAGGTCCAGCGAGAAGAGTTAAAGAGCTGCTGCTAAGCTTATAGGGTAAAAGGAAGCATGCTCCTGGGCTCCACCCTACGCTCTCTGCATGCCTTCCACCTCCCTGTCCCTGGGTAGAGCCCAGAGCCCCACAGACTGGAGACACTGCAGCTTGGCCCTAACAGTCTTCAGACCCTTGCACTGGAGCACAGATTTTCTCTAGAACCACAGGAACAGCAAGACTTTGGGTTCTAACCACACTTCCCTAACCTTCCCGTGTCTAGACAGAAGGAGCTTGCAGGGCAGTAAACTTAGCATCCCCTCCAGTGTGCTTTCCTCCAGCAATTACAAGGAGATGCACCAATGCTGCTCAGATCTTCCAGCCTACAATCAGTTCCGCTGTGTGGTCAAGCACAGATGATTTTTGTGCACGTCTTCAGCCTAAAGTCCTACACAGGTCTCTACGTTCTTTCTGAGTTGGTTCACAACTTTCAGAGTAAAGTGAGCAAGACTTAATTCAGAGTAAAGAATTACTCTGAATTTAAAAACAAAATTAAAAATTCACCAGGCAGTGGTGGCACACACCTTTAATCCTAGCACTCGGGAGGCAGAGGCAGACGGATCTCTGAGTTCGAGATCAACCTGATCTAAACAGCTAGTTCCTAGATACCCGGGCCACACTGAGAAACCCTGTACTGAAAAGCCAAAAACCAAGACAAACAAACGAACAAAAACCCTAAAAACCTAACAGATAGAGAGCCCAAATTGCTAGAGCACCACTTCTCACCACGCCATACTCCAGACTGCTGTTCTATCTTAAATAGACCTCGAAGAAGGTATTTTAAACGCAGGATTCCTTTCAAATATCCTGACATTGATTGATTTCTGAAACATTCTCAAGGAGTGTGAGAGCCCAGCACGTACACTGCAGGTGTGGAGTGGGAGGCAGATTTCAACGCTGAGTCACGGCACAGTGTGCACCTCGTGCATGGGCAGTGGGGTCACAAGGTGACTCTAACAGGGGCGTCACACATGGCATGCACACCTGTTGAAGCCCGGAGGAAATGCTGGAAGGAAATACAACACCCACAAAAGATGAGGTACAGCTGGCTTCCTGGTTCCCGTCCTGTGCGCTCTACAAGGAGCTGTGGTGTTCCACCCAGTAGGGACGGTCCAGCCAAGCCCTCTCCCCTCGCCTGAGAACCAGGCAGTCCTTTATACACTTCACTATGACCTGCATGGATGCGGCTGCTATATGTCTGACCCATGAAGCAGACAAGCCTATTACTAACAAGTTTAGTATTCATCATGGTTTTCCTCAGTTCTTGAAATAAGCTAGCTTCTTTAAGGGACTACAAATTTACTTTGTACAAAAAGAATACTTTCTCATCCTGAAACATTTTGACACCAAGAGGTAAAAACTGGTCTGCGGGAAAACACAACATGTCACACACAGGTAGTTTTGTACAAAGGGCAGGAGAGGTTTGCAATTGTGTCTGCTATCAAATAGTGACTTAGAGAGAGGGATCTCTCAAACAGACAGTGAACTGCTATGTTGTGTTCTGTTTCCAAGTGGAAGGCCCTGGGTCTCCAGAAGAGAGCAAGGAGCCACGAGTGTCCTCTAACTATGACAGACTTGGAAAGTGACTCCTTCCCAACTCAACCATGGAGGCTAGAGAGGAAGGAGGGGAAGAAGACAAGGAGAGGGAGAAAGAGTGAGAGGGAAGAATGGAAGAGAGGACACAAGGAAGGAGGAGAAAGATGGGATGGAGGCCAGGAGGAACCGGAAAGGAAGGAGGGACCCAGGGCACAAACCTCCACCAGTCTCCAGGCCTCGCCGATGACCGCGTACTGCAGGCGGTTCAGGACGAAGCCGTCGACCTCCTTCAGGACTCGCACAGGGGACTGCCCAATCTTCCTCATCAAGGCATAGGTTCTGTCCATTGTGGCTGGAGCCGTCTCTGGGTGGGGAACTAGCTCAACCAGCGGGACATAATATGGTGGATTGACCTTAGGAGAGGGAGAGAAGAGTAAGAGAATCAAGGCCATGGCTGACAATGGGTGTTGCTCTGGCCCACCCCAGCTCACCTATATTAGGTGGTAGGTGGGGTGGGGACAACTTTGGAAAGGTCCCTGGCTTCCACATCCAAAGAGAAGACTTGAGAAAGGAACGCATGCATAGGGGCACGTGCACACCGGGCCGGGGGGGGGGGGGGGGGGAGGGGGGGGGGGGGGGGGGGGGGGGGTGGGGGGAGGGGGGGGGGGGGGGGGGGGGGGGGGGGTGGGGGTGGGGGGGGGGGGGGGGGGGGGAGTAAATGTGCACAGAACTGTAGGGGTTTGTTTTTGAAAAGAATACACAAGGTGCACCTTGACATCCCATATACAATTGTGGAGAACCCCCAGAGAACCCCAAGACTTCCAGCCTCCCCAGGACAAGGTTTCTATACTAGTAATTGACATGGCTTTCCCTATCCCCACTGTCTGGAACCACTTTCCCATCCTAGACTCGGGTGTGATGATTCATGTGTGCAACCCCAAAGCCTGGGAGGCAGAGGACAGGTAGACACTAGCTTCAACCAGCCTGGGCTACACAGTAACCCCTGTCTCAAATACTCCTTAGACAGAACCTCCCAACGCTTGGTTCTTCCCTGGTCCCTCCTTGTGCACCTCACCCACTCTGGCGAGCTAATGTCTGGGAATCACAGAAAACCCAGCACCTTGGCAGCCTCACGCCTCAGGGTGCTAGAGACAGGAAGGCCCCACCAATGGGAGGGACCCAGTGGAGATGCTGGTGTGGTCCTCAGCTCTGGTTTTCTCGGTTCATACTTGGTTCCTTGGCTATTCCCCATAAAAATGAACAAACATCCCCCCAAAAAAAACACAGCCTAGCAGTGCCTAACAAGTCTGTACTGTGACAATCTGGTCCATATTTAAGGGGGTAAACCTCCTTCAGAAATGGAAGGTTTTCAAGATGGATAGTCAGGAAAAGACAAAAGTATTCATGTATTTAATGCCTCTGAGCCACCCCCTTAGAATGGTTAAAGTGGTCAATTTTATGGTGTGGCTACCACAATTAAAAGTAAAGAAATTAAAAACAGTATTCTGATCTCCCCACCTCCAGCTCCAAATTCTGGCATGATCCCTGCCCCAGCTGTGCAGCTGAGGAAGCATCGTGGTGCATGTCTTTAATCCCAGCGCCTAGCAGTCATGAGGCAGATGTAGCTGGGCTTCTGTGATGTCGAGGCCAACCTGGTCTACACGGAGAGTTCCAGGCCAGCCAAGGCTATATAGTGAGACCCAGTCTCAAGAAAAAAAAAGTGATATATCTGACATTGGACCCTTCCGACTCCTGAGATGGAACCTGGTCGCTCTCCTCTCCCTCCAGGAGGCTCCGGGTAGGTTGGTCTCACAACTCTAGCACTTGGCCTCTGACAATGAAATCAATCCCTCTTTGGAGTCAGAGATGAGCAGCGATAGTGCTTTGGACCATACAGTGGACAGAGGAAAGGGCAAAATGTCACACAACAGAGGAAGCTGATGTCCAAAAGTCTGCCCGGGATGGTATTCTTCTCATGGGTCTAACCAAGGCAGGGTAATCCCTGGTAATACCCACGGATGTCTCCTGGGGAATGGGGCCATGGTCTCAGACACTGCAGGACCGTCATCACCCACAGGCTACAGAGGTCGCTCCTCTCAAGCTTCCTGAGAAGTGAGCTGGAAACCCGCATCTAAACATGCTCCGTACCCAGCCCTCCTCCCCCGGACACCAGATTGCCTAGAAGCAGGTGTGCGCATCACCACAGGGTTCCCTCAACCAAGGCTGTAAACCGATAGGACTGACTTGATGTCTAACCAGAGCAAAAGGACAGGGAGCTGGCCTTTCATTCTCCCAAGAAGCTGAGGCAGGAGGGTCTCGAGCTTCAGAACGACTTGGACTACATGGCAAGACACCGTGGAAATAAGAGGGTCGGGGGTGGAGCACGGTGGTTCAGCCCTTACTTAACACACAGGAGGAAGCGTGATACACTGGCAGCAGACACTTTATTAAGAAAGCAGGCCTTTATCCAATTCCAGGAAGAGGCACCCTGCAGCTGACCAGGAACCTGGGTCCAGCCCAGAGTCTGTGGCCTCCTTCTAGGCAACCTGACCTATACAACTGAGCACGGAGAGGCCAGACACCCTGATCCCACAAAATATCAGGAAGGAAGACGAAGGGAAAGTTTTTTAAAGTGAAGCCAAAATAAGTACGATGCTCTGCAGTGTTGATGGCGGCCTACACTGTACGGTGGGGACATGGAGAGCGCCTCGGTGCCCCCACGCCAGTCTCCCTAAAGCCATCTCCACACACAGCAACTCTGGCTTCCTTCCTACAAAAGGAAAGTTGACATAAAACCCATCTGAGGACAAGAATGGCATAGCAGGGAAGGTGGGTGCATGAACACCCCTTCCTTTCTCGAGGCTCAGGCAGCGGATCTTAAATGGCCTCTGAAGGGGCAGTCCAGGAAGCCCCTCACTGCTGACAGCACACACCCACTGCTCAGTACCTTCCACTCACCCGGGAACAGAGATTCTGCCCTGACCCTGCAGAAACCATGCCCGAGAGAACAAGGGGCTGTCCTAACTTGCCGGCTGGAGCTTCCCAGTGTGGAGGTGGAGGCCACAGTCTATTGCAATGGTAAATATCCACTGTGCCAAGGCCCTGCGGGGGCATGACCAGGCCTCCTCCTTGACATCTGATTTCCTGTCCAGGCAAAGATCCCAGAAGACTATAGGGCTGAGGACGTGAGCTCAGCCACTCTGGTCAGGACTGTGGGATTAGGAGAAAATGTAGATTCTCAAAGACTAAGGATGACTCTTGAATATTTAGGACAGTCCATATGACTTGAGATGGCCCACAGTAGTATGAAAGACTCCAGAGACAGTTAACTTTAGTGATCGGATTTGCTTTAGTTAACAATATTTTGGGCTAAAACAGCACCTCATAAAAATAATAAAAGATTGTGTGTGTGTACACACACACATGTACACTCTTCTTGTGTCCTACCAAGACTAAGACCTACGGCCTTCTGCAAGCTGAGCAAGGCTCTGCACAAACAGATCAATTTGTAGTGGCTTTTCATCTTGTTTGTGTTGTTGTTGGTTTTTTTTTTTGAGAACTCTGTAGCCCCCTGCCTCAGCATCTAGTCCTGGGATTATAGAAGAGAACCATCGTACCGTATTTTAGAGAGGTTTGAACTTATGCTTTAGTTTATGTACTTGTCTATTATTCTTTATTTTCGTCTTTTAATTTTATTTTTATAATTACACCATTTCTCCCTTCCCTTTCCTCCCTCCAACCTCCCCCCCACACTTTCAAGTTTGTAACCTCTTTTTCTTTGTTGTTTTACATATATCCCTAAGTACAACGTCCTCAGTCCATATAATGTCATTCGTATGTATATTATGACTTCAGTGTTGACCAGCTGGTATTGGCGAACCAATCAGGGGCCACTGCCTTGGGGAAGACCATGTCTCCCTCTCTCAGCATTCCATAGCTGCCTGCATCTCTTTGTCTACCGTTGAGGCCCCATGAGCTCTCCCCTTTCATGTTAGTATTTCGTTTAGAGGTGTCGTCCTTGTTCAGGTCATGCTTAGTCCCTTGGGAAGCTGAGGATAGGGAACCTGAACTGACCCTATCCTATAGCAATACTGACGAATATCTTTCATATCACCATAGAACCTTCATCTGGTGATGGATAAAGATAGAGACAGAGACCCACACTGGAGCACTGGACTGAGCTCCCAAGGTCCCAATGAGAAGCAGATGGAGGGAGAACACGAGCAAGGATGTCAGGACCACGGGGGGTGCACCCACCCACTGAGACAGTGGGGCTGATCTATTGGGAGCTCACCAAAGCCAGCTGGACTGTGACTGAAACAGCATGGGATAAAACCGGACTCTCTGATCATGGCGAACAATGAGGACTGATGAGAAGCCAAGGTCAATGGCAAGGGGTTTTGATCCTACTTCATGTTCTGGCTTGATGGGAGCCTATCCAGTTTGGATGTTCACCTTCCTAGACATGGACGGAGGGGGGAGGACCTTGGACTTTCCACAGGGCAGGGAACCATGACTGCTCTTTGGATAGGAGAGGGAGGGGGAGAGGAGTGGGGGGAGGGGGAGAAGAGAGGGGGGAGGGGGAGAAGAGTGGGGGAGGGGGAGGGAAATGGGAGGCTGGGAGGAGGCGGAAACTTTTTTTTTTTCTTATTCTCAATTAAAAAAAATCTAAATTTCAGAGCTTCTCAGACTTGAAGATTTTTTGGATTAAGGATGTTCATTTGGTAAAGGCTATGTAAACATTCCAAAGTTCAAACTCTGAAATACTCTTAGTCCCAAGCATGTTGGTTAAGGGATGCTGCTATGGTTTAGATAGGAGATGCTCTGTGGAGCTGCATAGATGGATGGCTCAGCATTTAAGAGCATTCTGCTCTTCCAGAGGACCAGGTCCTATTCCCAGGGGCCACATAGCAGCTCATAGCTGTCTGTAACTCCAGTTCTGGAGGATCTGATGTCCTCTTCTGGCCTCTGCCTACACCAGACATATATGTGCACAGACATACAAGCAGGCAAGTCACCCAGACACATAAACTAAAAATAAATAAATCTTTATTTTTTTAAAAAAAAAAAAGCTCCCCCACACACATACACACACTAGCTCATGTGTCTGAACACTTGGTTCCCAGCTGCTGGTGCTGTTCTGGAAGGTTCTGGAACCTTTAGTTTTCCTCACTGGAGAAAGTGAGAAATGGTCACTCTGCAATGGGCCTTGAGGCTGACAGCTGACCCCACCCCCAGCCTGTTCTTAGCTTCTCTCCCCATACTTTCTCTGTCAGGATGCCCCTCACACTAAGAGCTAAAATAAACACCTCTCTCTTCGCCTACTTCCTGTCAGATATTTGGCCACATCAATAAGAAAAGCAACTAACACAGGTACCTCGTCTGTATTCTCTAATCTCCAACCCCCCCCACCGTGTGTGTGTGTGTGTGTGTGTGTGTGTGTGTGTGTGTGTGCTCTCCCAGAGATGCCATCATGGTCCCACCCCACATACTCTCCCTGGCTCCTGCCCTACGGCCTTTGCTTGTGCAATACCTCAGCTTCCAGCACAGTTCCCATTAACCCAGCCAGGCTGGCCCTGCTCCTCTGTATAGCTTTTGGCTGGTGATGACACCATATGCCATCCTATTTATCACAGCTGGAGCTACAGTGGCCTTCCCACCCAAACGGGCTGTCCTGGTTCTGCACAGCTGTACTGAGTTCAGAGTCAGGACTCCAACATCACTCACCGTGTGATCTTTAAACCCCTGTGCTTGTTCCCTGCCTTCACAAAGACATGGTAACCTCAGAAAGACTCACTGAGCCCTCCCGCACCTGCTAATTGGAGCCTGTGGCCCAGCTGACCAAATAAGGCGTTCCTGGTGAAGAAATGTGCTTACTCAATTACAGTGGATGGGGAAAGGGGGAGCAGCAGAGACGGGGGGGCGGGGGGAACACTTCAACTCAGAATTCTGTCAGTGATACCCGGAATCTACATTTTAACAGATCTGATTCTACTGTGAATGACACAAGGCCGGTGACACGCCTATAAACTCCCGCATGACGTGGACATTTTAAAACCTTGTGTGCATGTGTGTGAGGGGGTGTATGTATGTGAGTATGAGTGCACACTTGTGCTAGCCACAGTCTGAGGTGAGCTGACAACCCCTGGCATCAGACCTGGCCTTCTACCTCGTTTGAAACAAGGTCTCTGTTGCTTGCAGCTGCACACACAGGGCTAGCTGGCCCTCTCTCTTGTCTCTGCCTCCCATCTCCCTGTAGCAGTTCTGGGGTTACAGATGCACACACTACTATTCTCAGTTTACACGGGTTCTCGGGTTTCAACCCCGGGCCCTCATGCTCATACAGCACACACTTTATCCACTCAGCCAGCCCCCAACCCACGTGGACATTTTCAATGCAGCTCTTTTACTTTGATAATGGGGCTGCTCACCTAGCCGTTAGCCTTCTACCACACGGGTGCCCTGAGGGTTAATGCATTAAATACTGCCTGTTTTATGCCGTGCACAGATAAAAGTCCAAGGCATTTTGGATCATATTCCTTTTTTTTAAAATGATGACATTGTACAATCCTAAATGTATGCAAAACGATGGAACTGAATTTGTGGTATGTGGATTACACCTCAATAAAGCAGTTCAAGATACCTGCAGATCCATTGCAATCTATTGCCCCTAAAAATAGAAGGAGATACAATCACGTCCCCAGGCGGACCACACTCCCGAGGGTTGGAGTGTACCCTGGTGCTTGACTAGCGAGTGAGAGGACCTGAGTCTGAGCCCAGCACCACAAAGGGGGAACAAGCCAACAACTACTCACAGGATGAGCCACAATGCACTGCTTCACGTGGGCCAGGCCCGCAAACAGCTTGGAAGGCATCAGACAGGAGCTGGAGCTGCTTAAGATGACTCTGTCGTCCACGAGGCGATCCAGCTGGGCAAAAATCTTCTTCTTCAGCTCCAGGTTCTCTGGAGCACATTCCTGGAAGGGACACATTGGGAGGACGACTTAGGATCATGACAACAGTCAGGCTGTGTTTGCTTTATCCCTAAAGTGAACAAATCTGGAAATGATGCATCGAGGGACCCATAATCCTAGCATAGGGCACCTTGAAAACAGTTGAGGCAGGAAGTTTTACTGGTTTTCTTCCCCAACCCCCACTCTGCAAAAGGCTATGAAACAGAGTTCTGCCTTTCCCAGAAGCAGGTCACAAGACTCTGCAGGAGGTGCCCTGCACACACAGAGAAGAGGAAAGGGGCACCTTGGCTTGGAAGACAGGGAAACAGACAGGACGAACCCACCCAGAAGGCCCTTGCTCACTCCTTAGGTCAGAATCCCTCTGTCCACTCTTCATCTTACCAGCTGGAAAACCACATGGGGTTTCTTGGATCCTCACTTCCGACTAGTGTGGTGCCACATAAAACTTTATTAAGTAAATGTGCATGTTCTTATTGGTCTCTGTTTTGCTAGTGGAACCGCAGCCATGGACCTTGCCAGAGGTGAGAAAAGATCATCCAGCTGCAGAACTCGCTCCACGACTGGTTTTAGACAGGTCTGAACATTCTCACCCTAAGAGGCCTGGGCTGGGGTCAGTTCCATGGGGAAGGTATTTGCCCAGCATCTGGAAGCAACTCTGCCTCCATTTCCCAGAACTAGGGTGCAGGGAACCTGCCAACTGAGAATTCTCACGATGCAAAAGTCCGTCCGGGAGAAGAATCCTACAGCAGCACTCACAGGGGCCCTCCGGCGAACCACTATAACGCGAGTGCTTTCATCCCATCTGCCCCACCATCACATCCACATCTTCAAGGGAAAATCTCATCCTACAATGAACAAACGCACTGCACCTGTAGCTCCCAGAGGCACTCCGAGACCCATTCCTAATTGGGAGTCCTCTGGAAACAGTCCTTTGTTTTTAACAATTGCAAAGCACTCAATGGGGTGGGCACCCGGATAGAAAAGATAGCGGAGTGAATTTGGATTAATTACTGCTGATAACAAGCACTCTGAAATTCTAATTACAGGGCTGGGTGGGACTGAGATGGCAATCGCAAACAGCCCAGGCTGGCCACAGGTGGGGGGTGTTGCTGGGAACTTGGAGTTGAGGTGGACACCCTGCTCTGGATGGAAGCACCGCACCTATGGGGATCACACTGAGGGTCACTCTTAGCAAAGTGGGTTCCTGCTCACCTGGGAGGCAGAGACCTTCCGCTATGACCTTTGTGACATTCACTTTCTTCTCACAATGGCTCGAAAGCCAAGGAGTAGGATCAATGAGGTGCTCCTTAACTACAAAATCTCAACCCCCACCCTGGACCTTGTACAGGTGGGACTGAGGTACCCACATTTTTCACAAGCATCCTGGTGATTCCTTAAGCTCAGAATTACCAACCATAAGTTCAGAGCCACAGTGCATTGTCACTACTTAAAGAGAACGGGTACACCCCACACTTGGCATCCTACTGATGCCAGGATCCCCCATCTCCTAGCTCAGTGGTTCTCAGCCTTCCTATTGCTGTGACCCTTTAATACAGTTCCTTGTGTGCTAACCCCCAACCATAACATTATTTCGTTGCTACTTTGTGAATGTAATTTTGCTACTGTTATGAATCATAATGTAAATACCTAATATGCAGGATATCTGATATGCCACCCTCGGTGGAGTCATGACCCATAGGTTGAGAACCACTGTCCTAGTGACTCACACCAATCAACACAATCACACTGGCACTTTGGCCACTCCAGTGACTCTAACACCCAGCCAATTTCCCTGGAACATTACATTTATGCAACAGTTAAGGTAATGTAAAGAAACTCAAGAGCTCAACTGTAGAAACTTAGTGTCAAAGTGACATCAGAATCACTCCTCACAGATAAAAACTGTCAGCCAGCCTAGAATCCCAGCATCCCATCAGGGGAGAGGAGGTCAGCCAGCCTAGAATCCCAGCATCCCATCGGGAAGAGGAGGTCAGCCAGCCTAGAATCCCAGCATCCCATCCGGGGAGAGGAGGTCAGCCAGCCTAGAATCCCAGCATCCCATCCGGGGAGAGGAGGTCAGCCAGCCTAGAATCCCAGCATCCGGGAGTGGAGGCAAGAGGATCAAGAAGGTCAAAGCCACCTTCTGCTGCACCAATGGCTTGAGACAGGACGAGGCTACACTGTGTCTCAAAAGAATATATAACAAATAAATAATAAATAAATACAGCAGGGGCTGGAGAGATGGCTCAGAGGTTAACAGCATTTCTTGATCCTGCAGAGAACCTGGGTTCAGTTCCCAGCACCACATGATATACAGACACACACGCAGGCAAAGTGCCCGTACACATAAAATAAAATTTTAAAAAATGTTAATTTTATTCAAATGGGAAGGGGTCCACACTGTGTTTGTTTATACCTTTTAAACAAATAATCAGGCCACATGCAATTTTATTACAGGAAAAACCATATAAGCATCTCATCTCATACACAGAAGCAAAGAATGGAGTCATTTAAGAACTGTAAAGCCCATTGTGTTCGGTCCGCTTATCAAAACGGGAAAGGAGCTACAGTAGCTGGCTGTTCCTACTGAGTCACTCCTGGATCAGTTAAGTCTGCGAGGTGGGTTCAGTTTAAATGGAGCCTTGTAGTCCAGCCAGAGGTGAAGACCGAGGCAGGGCTTGTGTGAGCTGGGGAAGAATGGGCTCATTGTGCGCCACCCTGCAGATTCTCCTCTGCAATTCTATGCCTTTCTCCCGATCGTTTGATCATGACAGAGGCAAGAAAATCTGAACCACAGGAAACCCAAGCCTCCTGCAATTATGTAAGGGTTTCCAGTGGCCTGTTGGCTTGACATTTGGTTGCTCTTGCTGTGGTAACCAAGTTGTATGAGTTGGAGGGAGCCTCGGGCCTCAGGCTTCGGTCCATGTCACGCTGGGCTCAATTTCCTGTCATTCACTAAGGTAGCCCAGGTCTATAAAAGAGAGTGGGCCATCTTAGTCAGGATCTCAGACCCCCACAGGCTGTGATCCTTGCCCTGAAGGGCTGCAAAGATGGGGCAAACAGCTATGGCAGAGAAATGTAGATCCGCACCGGCTCTCTGGTCCGCACCGGCTCTCTGGTCCGCACCTCTCTGCTTCTCCAGTCAGCCCGCTGTGGGTGTACTTCTATAAAAAGCTACTATGTGTGAAGTATTTGCACTGACTGGCCTCACTGCTTGCCTCTAACTAATTAAACTCTGACCACATGTCCCTACAGAGCTGATTTACTATGTTTGTTTGGGTTTATTTGTCTGGAGGGAGTGGGGCTGCCACATCCAACAAAAAAATAGGCTCATACACAACCGACGCCATAGGCATGACTAGATTTAGGCAACAAAATCAAATGGTGAACCCTTGGGAAGTAAATTGTGACAGAACTTCCCAGTCCACAATTCTTAACGGCTGTCAAAATCAGTTTCCTCCTATATTTGTTTGAGACAGGGTCCCTTAGCCCAGGCTAGCCATTCAATACGTAACCAAGGCTGACTCAGAACTCCTGACCTCTTTGCTTCTACCTCTCTGGGATCCCAGGCATAAGCCACCATGCCAGCTTTACTCATGTTAGGGATCAAACCTGGGGCCTGGCAACTGAGCCACATCTCTCACCAGCTTCCAAGTCCAGGCAGAAGCCCCAGCTAACAGGTGAGGCTAAACTTCAATACTGCCTTCTCCTCCACTCCCCAACTAAAGAAACTGAATGATGGGTGTAACGTTTCCACTTACAATTGTTTAAAAAGTAAATCACAGACAAATGTCAGTGTCTCATATATAGGAAAAGTTATCTGGGTTGTTGAGGACGTGTCAGGACTGCACTCTGGAGAATCTGCACAGTTCCAGCAGACTGGCTCACTGGACAATCCCAGAGAGAACAAGGCACTAGGTGAGTACCTGCTTGTCAAGTCCCGCCACTGGCCACAGGACACACATTCCCACAGATGTCCGCCATGAAGGGCGAAGATGAAACTTTGCTGAGGTTTTCTTTTAATGGCCTCTACCCTGCCCTGCCCCACCCAGTCACCCCACACAATTGAAAAGGCATTCCATGACTCATGTAAAATATCTGAATGAAAATGTCAGTGGGCTTTCCAAGAAAGCCCAGAAGTCTGCAGTACTTAGGGATTTTGCACACAACATGGTTCCAGGAGCTGCTTTTAACGTGGGGGAAGAAGACTCAGGAAGGTCAGGCAGAGAAACTGACAGAGCCCAGGGGACAGTCACTACAGGGCTGGAGGTGAGAGCGGAATGGAGAATGCGTGGCAGCTAGATGTTAGCAATTAATCTGCTTCCGGCTGTCGAATGACCACCCCTTTCTCTTCAGTGCCTTCCCCAAGAGCACAGTCTTTAAAAACTATCCGTTAGCAGGCGACTGTCCACATTCCTGAAGAGGACGACAGGAGAAGCAAGAGAGGGAAGAGACATGAAGGGGACAAGAGTTTCCCTGCTTCAGAAGTTTCTGTGTTCAGAGGAAAGGACGTTCCTTTCCAACCTCCAACATCTCTGCCAAACAAATGGGGCTCCTTTCCCCCTAAAAATCCAATTAAAGTTTTGGTTTTTGTTTTGTTTAAGTATATTACATGTGCTCACTCTGCTAGACTAGAGGTCTCCACAATGATCCCAAACAAATTATACCCAGAGATCTTCCCAAGGCAAATAGGGGGGCACAGTGTACTGGGCAGTCTGGGGGAGCAGTGGGGTACAGCATACTGGGCAGTGTGGGGAGCAGTGGGGTACCACGTACTGGGCAGTTGTGGGGATCAGTGGGGTACAGCATACTGGGCAGTTGTGGGGATCAGTGGGGTACAGCATACTGGGCAGTGTGGGGAGCAGTGGGGTACAGCATACTGGGCAGTCGTGGGGAGCAGGGGGGTACAGCATACTGGGCAGTCGAGGGGAGCAGCGAGGTACAGCCTACTGGGCAGTCGTGGGGAGCAGGGGGGTACAGCATACTGGGCAGTCGTGGGGAGC